TGCGGATGGAGCCTGGAAGTCAAAACTCTGCGGTAGAATGGAGGCGCCGAAGCCGATGCCGTTCATCATTCGGTACATGGGCTTCAAGGCTTGACATTTCCTCCTGAAGCCTCTAGGTCTGCGCCGGAACGAACCCTCTTCGAACATGAACTCGCTGCCCGGATCGATGGTCCAGTAGTGGCCTTTCCCAGGCCGGCCTAGTCCTTTGGGCAGCTTGATGAAGCACTCATTCAATGACAAATTGTGTCGGACTGAGTTCTTCCAGCCTTGATACGAACCCCTGAAGAACGGGAAGCGAGCCTGCAAGAACTGGTAGATCTCACTGAGAGTCAGCCGTTTAGTGGGTGAGCTCTGTATTGCCATGACGATGAGGGCGATGTAGGAGTAAGGCGGCTTCTCTGGTCGCCTCAAGCCCGAGCTGCTCTTCTTCCCCTTTGCGCCCGCAGAAGCGCTTTCCGTGGCGGCCTGTGGGCTCAGCATGGCGGGATGAAGGACGCCGGATGCCGGGCTGGATCTCAGAGGAGGCGGAGGGTCCAGGTGCTGCTGAGTGGTCTCGGTTGTCATGTCAGCTCTGACGTACAGCTGGCGTAGATAAAAGAAAGAGGGAGGGAGAAAGACTCAAGAGTAAAAAATATGGAGACTTCCAACGGTCAGTAAACTCTGCTCCACCAGTGGTCCCCCGAATCTGAGTGCAAAATGGAGAGAAATCTGTCTCCAGTTACGCACCACTCTCCCGTTACGCACGGTGCTCCTTTGACGCATGCAGAACGCACAGCGTTCAAGAGAGAGGAAGAGGAAGGGAGAGTGGGGGGAGCTGCTTATCCACTGGATACTGAGTGTCCAGTGCTCCGCTGGGTGTCACACTGGCGCTAAGTGGCGCTGTGTGACGCGCCGGGTGGCCATTGACCTTCTTAATGGAGGAAGCGCATAAAAAGCTGGGTCTTATTGCGCGCAAGAGTCCAGACAAACAAATCCCGACCACCTATCATTTCATAAATCTTTCTTCCCTCTGCGGGAGCCCCCCCACCCTTTCTCCTCAGCTTTACTCTCTGTGACGAAAACAGCCCCCGCCATCCCCTCCCACACATGATCTGGCCACAGTCCACTCACCGTTTAAGCAGCTTTAGCGCCCCACATTCTCTCCTCTCCCCGTCTTCCTTCTTCCTCACCCCTTCTCTCCCAGACCGTTCTGCACGCAAATAAGTGATCTATCAAACCTCCCCCAGACTTCCCAATCAATTTCGCCACACACGCCCCCGAACAATGTTAAAAAACTCTTTTTTTTTTTTTTTATGATGCAGTTTTAGCCACAAAAGACCGTCCCATTACAAGATCTGAAACATAAAAAAACTCCAACACAGTGATCTGAATATATACAGCGCTTCATGCAATCCGTCCCTGTTGCTAAAGAACGCCTAGCTCCGTGTTATTTGTATTATTTTGCTCATAATTTCCTCTCAAAATGGCCCAGAGGATAACAAAAACAAACTGTGGCGGAGCCGGGCTTGCAGAGGGGCGAGGAGTGTGAGAGATGGAGGTGGTGGTCTTTACCGTGCGTGTGTAAGTTGATGTGTGTGTGTGTTATGGGGGGTGGGGGGGTTGAGGGTTACTCTGAGTAAATGACTTTGACATGAGTGGAAGCAGGCTTTTTCCATCAAGCCCGGCCCTGGATACCACACACAGCGCGCCAGTGTCAGCTTACCGCCCCGGGGCCGGAGCCTGTCCCAGGGGCCCCGCGTTCATTAGAGAGAGAAAAGCGAAATTAGGCGAGCGGGCGTCGACAGTTTCCGCCCCTATGGAGACATCACACACAGATTTGTCCGACATGATGAAGTTCTACCAACATTCGCGCATCACAGAGGAGAGATAAGAACAAAAGCGACAAAAAGTTGAACATCTGGGCTTTTTATATCTGGGTGCCTTCAAATGTTCCTTTATGTAGCCTTTAAGGCCTTTAATATTTTAGTTGTTTCCAAGCACACCCTCTGCACCAGCCTTTGCACTTTACCAAACAAAAGACTGTGCAAGTCGATAAAAATCTGTTTCCCACAATGACGCACACACATATGCACACGCAAAATCGCAACGGCTCCAGAAATTTCCTGCGACATCAAAAAAACGTATGACCCCCGTTGAGATCAGGATGCCTCGGTTTGCAGAGGGAATCTTTGTTCTGGGTTCAGCTTTGAAGAAGCTGATCCGGCTGCTTGTTACTGACCGCAGCTTCAGCTTGATTCTAATTTGGTTTTTGTCGGAAACGTCCCTCTGATAAACAGCCATAGAGGCGCTTAGTGTTGGGGTGTTCTGGTCATGCTTCATACTTGCATGAGACCCCAATCAGCTCAATTCCATTAAAATGAGAGCCTCTCTTTGCTCTTGTAATTATACTCAATATCTTCAGGTAAATAATATGGATTCGAAGAAAGTGTTTCTGTGCTGCCATGGTGCAGGTAAATACAGCTCGTTGAAATAATTGGATTTCGTTTTGTGCAAATAATTCATTTCAAATATATTATTTCAACACGTAGTTTATCTATTTATCATTTCCTAAAGTAAATAAAGAAGTCAATGTTATATTGTTTGATTTTAATGATGCTTTACTATAAATAGATTGTTGTTTTCTTTTGTTAGATTTAGAACAAAATAAATCAAATAAAATGAAATAGAGAATGATCAGGCCTGTAGTGTAATATTTTTTTCGCCACTGTGCCTTTGTCCTGCCTCTCTGCTTGTGTTTCCTGCTGCGGTGCCGGGATCTTTGGAGCTGCCTCTGCGGGACACTGGGAGGTCAGACGCGGTTCACTTCGGCCAGAGTGACAGACTGTTTGGACTTCCTAACATTGTGCCTGCCTTATATACAGTTCAGTTCCAATTCGCTGTTCCTCCTTTTCAGTCCAGCAGGAGGCCCAGACAGAGATGCAACATCTGAAGCATGCGCATTAACTGTGCATGGAAAAGATGGCAGCTATGCGAGATGCTGCGAACATCTAGGGTCACGTGACTGCACCTTAGACAGGTGTGCTGTTGCAGTGTTTCGCCTGCAGGTTGCAGCATTGTCCGTGCTAAAGGAGAAGAGTGTCACCTGTCACCTGTCACCTGGCCCACCTCTCCTGCTTTAATGGTTTACACATTATGGGGTTGTGTGTATATACCTGTGTGTATTTCCTTCAATTTCTTGGACCACAGGCCTTTTACCTGAACAATACGATCAACCTGAACAAGGAAACCATGGGTGGTCTTCCTCTCTCTTATCTGTCTCTACTGGGTGAAGTAAGCATCATGCTCCGCTAATATAAAGTCCCATTAACTGATTGTCCAAATTTATGCTTTTGAAGCACTTGTGTAAATAAAAAAATTTAAATATAAAGACGGTTTTTATTTAAATCTATTGCTCATCATGCTTTTCAGTAAAAGCATGCAACCAAAATCTGATCATTTTGCTAATTATTCTCTAAACAAACATAACAGCTTCAAATCCGCACTGTTTTATTTAGTGTTTTATTTTGTAGAGATTAATTGATATATCTGCAATGCTGTATGAAATGTCTTCTGCTTTTTCCCCCCTTTATTTTTAGCTAAATTCCCGCGGCTTTAAATTCTTCTAAATTGTGTATAAAATAATTAAATGAAAACTCCACAGAGTGAACATTTTATTTAATGTAGTTCCGTTGCAGCTCACATGACACGAGTGTCGGAGAATTAAAATAGAAGGTAGATGATTAATTTAAAGTAAATGTGGATTGTTTGTATTGTAGGTTTGTTGTGAGTTATGTGTACCTGTTTTTTTCTCAAATGACACGTGTTGTTTTTAGGTAAATGTACTGAGTTACATCTCCGCACAAGCATCAGCAGGAATAATTTGTTAGATGAGCTGGTTGCCATGTTGCAAAGAGTTGTTTTATGCATTAAATCTAGACATGGGTTTCTGTGAGGCCCGCTTTTCTTTGATGTTTTGTTCTTGGTTTGTGTTGTTTTTTAATATATACATTTCAAGCGGTTGGCTGCGGATTCTGGGGTCCGTTTCAGGACCGTGGAGAGCAACTGGAGGCCCTCCGGACAGAAACCTTCCACAAACTTTAGGAGCGTATATGGATAGGTCTCTATATGCACTCTCTGAGCTGCATAAAACAGCACCACCCCCTACTGAAAATATGTTTTTTATGTATACTAAATGTTTATTTTCATAAATTCCTCTGAGCTGACAACTAGTTCAAATTTTTTTCCTGCTTAATCAATTGTCTATTAAAGACTAATCATGTTTTTTCCAGATTAATAACCAATTTAATTGTATCACAATTAACATCCACTATGATAAAAACACATCAACAGCTAAAATTGTTAAATCTAAAAAATTCATAGGCTTTCGTCTAGAATAAAAAGGGATCCTGTGGACTTTTAGTTGGACAGATGTGATTTATTACGGCCCCGAGAGCCAACAAAGTTGCTTGTTTGACATGCACCAGGCTTTTTTCTCTCCACTGGCGTGCAGCAAAACATGAGTGGTTTGTTTTTTCATGAGGGAATGTTTTCTGTCTGTTTTTTATTTTATTTTATTTGTGTACAATATGGTGATTCAACCATTTGTTGTTTTTAAAATGCGCATTAGGAGTTAATTGAATTTGAATAACAAATAGTGATTTTCTCAGATAAACAGCGCTGATGTATTTTTTAATGTATAGCCTTAGTGATGCGTTGGGCACCCTCTATCAGATCAACCTAATATTCAAAACATTACATTTCTATATTTGAAATAAAATATTTGATGCGTTATTTTAATGTTCTGTTGATTACTTATTTCTTCCCTACATTATTTCCACCGAAAAGACTAAAGTGGGGAAATTTGAATGATTTAAAGATTGATTCCCAGCATCATTTAAGACAAATGTGATTCTGCAGCAGGTGTTTCGTCTACACTCCTCCTCTTAACTGGAGTGTAATTCCAGTCCCCATCACTCCAGTTCATTTGATTTCTATAACAGAAAAGTCACCAAACAACATGATCCCATTGTTTCACGATTTTTATTCATAAAAATACCGAACATGCATCTGTATCAATCAATCAACAATCCAGTCAATCAGTCTTTGGGAAACCTGTTCATGTTTCCATTACATTTCTCGTGCAGCCTCATAAATGCAATGCAGCTTCGTCAATATTTAATATATTATACATTACAGCAGTTCATACAAAACATGAAAATATAAATAAAGTGACAGATTTATATTTTAGGAAACAAAAGAAATGACCATTGAACCGTGGATACATGAACACAAACACAACTAACGCACGCCCACACACTCTCTCTCACACACAGAGGCATAACCTGATGACACTTATTAGTTTGTCACCACACAAATCTGCTTTGACAACACAAAGCGTTTGCTTTTGACTCTACAGTAGTTTGGTCACTATGAGTCCCGCACAGATAAATAAAAGGAGCGCTGGAAGCTGAGAACCCCCATCAAGGTGCAGTCTGTTTTGTTTTTTTCTATGAAAGCAGAGAGTCTATGTGAAAGCATCGGGCTCTGCTGGGCACCTTGAAGGCGCCTTCAGGTGCGACACTGCCAGCTGCCGTTGCCTGCAGGTACGGATCCCTTCTTGGCTCTGAGCAGCTGTACGCTGCCTCAGACACATATGTATGCTGGATCGGATTCATTGCGTACGGCAGAGTGTGGGGCCCGGGGGCCCAGTACATCCGTAGGGTTGGGTTCTGTGCGTCAGGGTGGTACTCCTCTCTTCTTTTGAAAGGCTTGCTGAGGATGCTGTCGATGGCGAAGGAGCTGGAGAACCTGGGCCCCACTCTCTCCTCAGGGGCGGGGAGTCGGGTGTCCTCACTAAGCACCTCTGGGCTCTCTTGCTCTTTAGGGCCCCTCTTGGCGATGCGCTTCCTCCTGCGCCGGAAGACCCCATCAGCAAAGGTGTATTCACTGTGTGGGTTCAGCATCCAGTAGTTGTCCTTCCCCCAAGGCCTGGACGGGTCCCGGAGCACTTTGAGGAAGCAGTCGTTGAGTGACAGGTTGTGGCGCACAGAGTTCCTCCAGCCCGTGTAGCTGCCTCGGAAAAACGGGAACTTCTTCATCAGATAGTCGTTGATCTCCGCCAGGGTCAGGCGGCCGCTGCTGGACTCCCGGATGGCCATGGCGATGAGGGCGATGTAGGAGTAAGGGGGCTTCGGTCTGCGGGTGTAGGGCTTCCCTTTGCCGCCCTCGCTGCCTTGAGTGACAGGTGCCGGGCTGTTCGCCATGCAGTCTCCGTCTGAGCCGAGCTCATCCCCGGACAAAGGAGAGGGAAGCCCCCCTTCTGGCTCCATGCACAGCTCCAGTGGCTTTTGCGCAAAGTGGTGCGCGGAGAAAACTTCAAGTTTCATTTTTTTTTTCTCCTGTGGAAAAAAAACAAAAATCAGAGCTGGTGTCTCAGCTGATCGGTAGAGCAGGTGGAACTGAGCTGTCAGCCGAGTCGGAGTGTTTGTTAAGTGTAGAAGTGCTGCAGGCAGCCTGAGCCTCAGTGTGGAGCTGCAGAACACAGATCTTTCTCCCGAGACACGCTTGTCTTGCTTTAATATAATGCCTCCACAAGGGACAGCCCACGGGCGGGGTTAGTACGTCAAATCTATTGAAGCGGCTGAGTTATGTATATAGATGTATGTTCACAATTGGACGCTGGCATGCAACAGCAGGGAGGGGAAAGAAAATAAAAGAGGGTGGATAAAAGAGGCGAGACAGGGCAGGTACGATTATCATTACAATCAAAAGCACATATATCTATCTATGACTTCTGCATTTTTCTTTTCTTTCTGAAGAGCCCAAGTGACTGTTGTACAGCAAAACACCTGACCGGCACAGAAAGCCAGACAGATTTTCAACAGATAAACAGAAGCATGCTTGTTTGTTATTGGAACTCCTGTCAACCTTTTCTGGAATGAGGAAGAAAGGGAAGCACAGCAGAAACATTAAAGGAAATTTTTTTTTTTGGATGAGTTCCACTTAACGCACAAGGACTATGTAAATTCAGAGGTTATCAAAGACATGGAGAATGAGGAAACAAGCAGATTGTCTGAGAGATCAGGGTGGGTTCAGAGGACAGGGTAAATTAGACCTGACTGCCTTCATATCAACTTATTCTGAACTTTAATTCAAAATGAAAGCTGGGATTAAGTTGTCTTCAGTTTAATTAATTTGGCTCAATGCTGTGGAGGAACTTGGCTCCTGTCTTCCACATACAAGAGTATTTACGTGACCTATTGTCATGTAAATACTCTTGGATTCTGCTATCAGACAGATGGTTATTGATGCCTTTACAAAGGAGTTGGTGGGCTCAAAGTCAGGGTGCTCGAAACAAGCCAACATCTTTACTCTTCAACCCTCATGCTTAGTAGTTAATATGAGGAATTTGTTCTGATATGCTGTAACATTTTCTTTTCAAAAGACTTTTTGCAATATACTGAAATCTTGTCTACTTTTACCTCACCTGTCCAAATCGTATTTCTCCAAATGCGCTGTAGCTCATGCAAATGCAACTTTGCACACCTAAGTTGTGATTGCATGTTCTTTTGAAAGAGATGAATTGAAAGACTCTGTTAGATGTTTAATGTTTTATACATTTAACACACTCAGGCTAGTCAAATCTATAACAAAGGTTGTTTCTATTTTTTTAGGCAAAATAATAATATATTTTTATAACTGAACTTTATTGATCTCAAATTGGAGAAATTTACCTCCAAAGATTTTAGCCCTGCATAATAAAGAAATTTAAATAGTTGGGAAATCACATTACAGGTCATAACAAAATTGCTTGTCCAAGGTTGATTCTATTTCCTCTGTGACTTGGTATTTTATTGACACTAAAGCACCATGGAAATCAGCAAGCTGACAACAAGCTGTTTTTCAGAAAGTTGGACAAAGAATTCTTATCAAATCAAAAATATTTGATCATCAGTACTTTTATGTGCATTCTGTCCTGAACCCAGCAGAACTATTTTTAATGTTATTTTAATACCTATAAAAGAGAAATCTACTTAATTTTGCACCCATGCTTTTTAAATTCCAATAAAACCAAAACCTAGTAAACATCACTTTGTTTTATTAAAACATAGATTTCAAGAAATAAAAGAGGATTTTCTTTCTTTTTGCTATGATGACTAGTATTAGTTTAAGTGCACTGTAAATGTGCAAGAGTTTGAGCAGACCTGAAAAAAATGTTGCACCTTTAGGAAAAATAAATTACTTTTATGTCTTTATGGGCAATAATTTGGATTAACTTATCAGTCACACCCTTTTAACTCCGCCCTAAGCCGGTAAGACTTTCATAATTTTCTCTTTAGATAAGACTGGATCCTATTTCAGTCAACAAAAATTCTTTGAGATTATTCCCATTAACTATTGAGGGTGGATGTAGATTTATTCTTATTACTGTGGTAAAGAAACTTAAAGACAGTTCAGTAAAATAACCATCTATACTCAGGTTTGAACATTTTCAGCATTCTGCCTCCAACTGCTGCCATTTAGCAGAACATTCCTGCAGTTTATGTGTTTTCTATACTGCCAATGGCTTTTGTCACGTGTCTAAATGAGGCATCCATTGAGAATCTTGAGCATCAAATCCATTTCCGTGTTCCCTTAAACTGTTCAAATGTTCAAATCATTCAAACTAATAAAAAAAAAAATAAGTTACTAAACTGTATCATGTTTGCTGTGCAGTGAATGGAGTTTAGCAATGTAAACATGCTTAAAATGACATTCAAAGTTGTGTTTTGGACTTGTCCGCTGAAATTCAAAAGAAGCCATAGTTGAAGAGGATTACGTAAATTCACAACGCTGACGCCTGTAAACCAAGCCTTAGTGGCTTTAATTCCTCTCCTGTTACCACCTCAGGGATGACGAGGCAAACAGAGGAGAGTTAACATGAGTTATGAGCTTCAGGGTAGTTAAACTGTCGTCTCAGCCACTCCCTCTCCCTCAGCTGTTTATAGGAAACCCTGAACGTCGACTAAAGCTTCATCTTTCTTCATAAATTTAATGTCATGCATTTGTACTTAATTAGTTACCATCTGATTAAATTAAAAAGATGTGTTGAGACTTCTTGAGCTCTTAGATGAGCAGAGAAGTTTACATTGCTAAACATGTGCAGCATCCCAAGTAGTGGGAATTTATTACTTTCAAGAAAGGCCTGATTACAAAGGGTACTCTGAACTGTTTGATTGTAGGTGTGAAAGCAAGCAGATTTGGGAGGGTTTGTAAGCTAAGTATGTAAGCATGTACTTGGCAGTCCCTGTCTGGATTTCCTGTTATGTAAAAAAGGTCTGATTTTTCATAGATAAGCCTGATGAAAATTGGAGCAAACCTAGTGGTATATGAGCTTTAGGTAACAAAGTACGTAAGGGTTTGACGTCGGCTCTTAGCTAAGTTCTCTTTCACGAGAATCCGAAATTAATTTATTACTCCCTTGCAGGATATTCTTTAGACAACATAACACTAGTTCCTTCTTTAACTTTAGATGACATTCTTGTACCTGGATGATTTGTATCTCAAAAGGAGGCCATCCACCAGGCAGGTAAAGAAGGAAAAAAGAATAGCAAAAATCAAAGAAAAATCTCTCATGTTTCTGAGTGTCTTTATCACAATATGTTTTAGAGGATGATGAATGCCAGAGGAAACAAAGTAGTTAGATATCAAAGCGAAATCTTTTGACTTTTTTTATGGAGCAGTTGAAAGTAAAAAAAAAAAAAAGAAAATGAATAAATAAATAAAATGTTTTTGCAGAAACTCATGATGACGACTGCTGGGAGGTTTAATCCAGAGCTGACAAAACCATCATTATCTCCACGCTGACGAGGCTCCTGGAGAGATGGTCCTGCACAGCTTGGCTGATGGTGGGTGTTGCACTGTTTTTTTTTTCCTTATTTTTTATTTACTTCCTTACAAAACTGCTGTGAAGCTGGGTTTTATTCCACTTTCTCTGCCAGAATGGCTACACGCTCACAAATATATGCAATAAAGCGAGCGCACCTGTTCTCAGTTTGAAACCAGAGGTGTAAAGGCTGTTACTCTGCAGGAAACAGTGCAATATCACATTATCATTGCCACTTAGATTTTTGGATTAAGGCTGATGTAAATCTGTCACATTTCAAAAAGTAAAGAATCAGAGCTTCCCTTTATTTTTCTGCTATTATGCAATACCACTTCCTTCAAGGAAGCACCCGGTAATTAAACTGTGTTGTTGGTTTTCCTACATTATACAGATTACTACAAATGGTTTTCAATATCAGGAATTGGCAAACTGGGTTTAAAATGATTGCCCATTTTCTTTAATTTACATATTCAGACTCAAATGTAGAAAAGTATTTCCACTGTGTTTTCTCAAATGTTTGTAAGTAAATTTAATTAAACACCTTTTGTCTCCATCACCAAAAATGCTGCATGTTTTTTTCTAAGTTGGTAAAGATATTTAAAATTTGGTTTTGTACCACATAATAAGGCTTTCATCTGTTTCAATTATAGTTATGATTAGTTTATTTCTGTAGATTGGAAATAAAAGTTGAGTTTGGAGGAAATCATCCTCATTCATATTCCCATTCTGTATTGTCTTTGGCTAGTTCACGTGCAGAAGTGAATTTTTTATGAATTTAAGGAACATTAAGTCAGTGTAAGAGCTTGCGTTTCAGTTAGCACCATTTCAGTCCTTTACAATGTTAAACTTTCCTCTCTGCGAAGCTGGTGGTACAGCAGCTTCCACTTTATGATGGGCTAAAGTCTGAGTAGGTCCTGAGTTTTCCAAAAATTGTTTGCAATCATACAAGAAAATTAGGTCAGGATAAAAATGACCCAAAATAATATTCTGGAATTGCTTTGACCGACAAGCTAAGTTCCATCTGTGGAAATACTTCATCCTCAAAAAACACAATGATGAAGATCTTGTGATTATGACTAAATTAAATCCCATTAGAAGAGAAGTCGGGTCTTTCAAATATGAGAATGTTGTATCAACTGTATAGCATGGGGATGGTATCATCATGCTATGGGACTGTTTATGGAGGAAATAATGAAGAAGGAAGCATACATCCAATTTAGTTTTCTTCACATCTATTCATCATTATTAAAACATGGATTTAATTGTCTAAATGTCGCAACAGGAAAATAATAGCAGAGGAATTCAAACGTTAAGGAATGGACAAGGCAGGCTGACAACAAACTTCTAAAATGGTGCTGATCCATTGAAAAAGACAAAACTATTCCTGAAAGATCTTTTTTTGGCAAAGATGCCAACACATATCACTCATTTCAAATAAAAAATAACTTTTAGTGCATGTCGCCTAATTTGGCGGTAGCCAGATTTATATGTGTAGAACTGAGTTGAGTTCTAAGTTATTAATCTGGAATGGCTGCCGTTCAGTGTGTCTGTTAAAAAGGAGGGATGTTTAGTATAATACTTTGAGCTGATTGGGTGACATGCCAGCTTGTACCTGCCTTCCATATTACGCTTTCAGCCAATCATCTTTGTCGTCCATGAGAGCCTCCAATGGAGACACGATGATCACACACTCGTCTACAG